TGCTGTGGGACCCAGCCCCCTCTCCTTCCTTCTTTATTTGCTGTGACATAGTAAGAGAGAGATGGATGACAGATAGATAGATAGATAGATAGACAGATAATATATATTGATCTCTGCCTCCCTCCTTCCCAACACAGAACTCTTAACACCCTTGGCATTGCCTGGGTGATAGAAGTGTCTTTGTTCTAATGAGGTGACTCTGGGTGAGCTCCTGGGTGGCCCCTGGAGGGAGCGGGTCAGCGGAAGGACCAAGCCGTGCTAAGAAACCTGGAACTTTCAGCCTCACCACCCACCTTCTGGAGGGGTAGGGGCTGGAGATGACGGACAGAGACCACACGCGGGCGGAGGATTGAATGTGGGAGGTGGGGGGTGGGCAGGACAGGGGAGAGTAATGGGGGAAAGATGGGGACAGCTGTAACTGAACAACGATAAAAAAAATTTTTTTAAACAACAACAATCCATCACGCTTACAGAAGGAGCCTCCATTAAACTCCCCAGACTGCAGGGACCGGTGAGCACAGCCGCGTCAGGGAGGCTGACGACACCCAATCCACGGGGACAGAGGCACCCGCACTTGGAATCCTTCCGGGACTCGCCCTGCGTGGCTCTTCCTGCGGCTGTTCACCAGCGTCTTTTATCATAGGCTACATAATAAACCAATATGCATGGTAAATGTGTCCCTGAGCTTTGTGAGCTTCCCAGCAAGTCGCCAGCCCTCGGCTTTGCACCAAGCCTGTCAGAAGTGTGGGTACCCTGGGGCCCCATGACTGTGCCTGGTGTCTAAGTGGGGGCAGCCAGGTGGGACTGAGCCTTAGGCCTGTGGAGTCTGCTGCTGATTCCCCCTAGTTACCGGGAGAAGTAAATGAGATCACAGGACACTCAGCCGGTGTCCGGAGAGCTGGAGAATTGGTTGGTGTGGGGGGAAAGCCCACATGTTTGATGTCAAGAGTGTGTGCATTGAGAAAGTTCTCCTTTACCCCTAAACCAACCCATGGGAACTTTTCCTTCGAAAGGTTTTATTGGCAATCGCTCTAATGGAAAACAGGAGGGATAACAACAATAACAAGCCCAGGAATGTGACAGCGTTTTGAGTAATTTTACAAAGATCTTACGGTTGCTGACTTCTAGCTTAGACATCAACGAGAACCCCTGCAGACCCCTCCCGGGCTTCTCACCGCACCAACTGGGCTCTTCTGGCTGGCCCCTCCCCCACCAGAACCGACCATCCCTTGCGGAAGCTGAGTCCCAGCCCCGACTCCAGACCCTGGCCCTGGAGCCCTCTCATCCTAGGATCAGCTCCTGAACAAGTCATTCTCCCTGAGGCCTCGCCCAAAGTTTAAACCCTGACTGTGCCCAGAAATCCAGGCTGTGAAAGCTAGAAGAACCCTGAAGGAATGTTACACATTAAAGCGACCTTCCTCGCCTCGCAGGTAGGAAATGGGATTCCCAGACAGGATCTCAGCTCTGAGACCCATGTGAGCTTCTAGACTCCCAGTTAGATGTTAGTACTAATTTTTTAATCCTCACCCAAGGGTATGTTTACTGACTTTAGAGGGAGAGGAAGGGAGAGAAACATTGCTGTGAGAGAGGAACATCGATCAGCTGTCTCCTGGCCGGGGATCTAACCTGCAACCTCGGTATGTGCCCTAACTGCGGCTCGAACCCACAGCCTTTGGTTATGGTGACAGTGCTCCAACCAGCTGAGCCACCCGGCCGGAGCCCATTCGGATGTTATTTAAAAGCATCCCGCCCCTTCCCTGCCTACTTGTTAACTTTGACAAACCAAAACAGAACTAGGAAGCAAGAAATATTCTCCACACAGAATGACACTCGCCCTCAGGAAACGTGGGGTTTCCTCCTAAGGCAGGTACCCCGGAGCCCTGCGCTGGGGGGCTGGGGGGGGAGGCCCTCTGGCCTCTCCTGAGCCTCCTCCCTCACCTCCGTCCTGCCCCCGAGGCCATCCTGGGGCTTCTGGCCCCCAAGCCAGCAGGCTGCTGCCCTGCTGGAAGGCTCTGGTCCCCAGTCAGCGGGGCCGTCCGTGTCCCGTCCTCGGCCACGCTCTCCCGGGTCGCTTGACGCCACACGCCGCACACACCCGCACCCCAGTTCTCCTCAGCGTCAGTGCGTCTCTTCTGGGCACTCGCCACATCTGCATCTGCCGCTGTCCTGCCCCTCGGCCCGCTCCTCGTTTGCTCCGCCCCCTCAGCCGGGCTGCGTGAACGGGACGGTGTCCGTCCTCATTACCGTCGCATCGCAACCCCCAACAACGCAGTTGGCACGGGGTGGGTGTGCAGTGGGACTGGGGAAAGGGCTTGTAGAAGAGATGAAGTCACAGAGGCAGGACACGGGTTTTAAATACTTACAACTTTTATTAGGGGCGGGCTGTCGTCCCCGCAGCAGCCGGCCCCCACGTATACACAGTATACACTGCTCAGCCAGTACCCAGGTCATGCCATACTCCCTCAGTGCGTGGAATGCAAAAGAACCAGACACAGAGGGACGCTCCGTACGGGACAGAGCCCAGTGCCTTCCAGAGCCAACCCCAGGCGGGAAACATTCAAGTCTCTCCACCTGTCCTCAGCGCCCCCCAGGGCCGCCCTCCGGCCTGGCTAGGCCCCTATGCTCGGACTTCTCCAATCAGTGCACATGATGGGCAGAGGGCTCCTGAGCCCAGATCCCTTCTGGTCCACGCCCCACCAAAGTTGTTGGAGCCCCCAGAACGTTCCTCTTCCTCCATTAGACGTGAGATGCCACCTTAACTTTGTATTCCATCACTAGGACCCTGTGCCTCACCGCTTGTCTCTGCTCAGCCTTGGAGGGCATGGTCAAAGACAGGACAAACCTCCCAAGTTGTCTCGGTCATACTTCTCTTAAAATGGAAAAAAAGGAAAAACATCACGACAGAAAAGAACATGGAGACCCAGCTTGCGTCAGGTACAAGGCTGGTTGTCCCTCCTTGAAATGATTTGTAACGCTGCTCCGCTAGTGGGCCAAGCGCCCCGCCGATGGCAGCTCCCCTCCCCCCCATTCCCTGCCCCTTCTACACAGCCCCCGCGCCACCCTCTCCTCGCCGAGGAAGGGGGCACCAAGCGCAGGGCGCAGTGCTGTCGTCGGCCAGTGGGTCTCCCTGCGGCCTGGTGCCCTGGGCCCCTCCCAGCCCTGCAGCCCCGCTGTTTGCTCCTGCTCCCTCCGATCCCCCAGGGAGACTGCTGCCCGGCCTCCAGGACCCGCACGCCCACTGCCCCGCGGAGGGGCTCTGCCCATGGGCTCAGCCCAGGGTCCGACTGGGGTGAGAATGCCACCCCAGGGGCCTGCCTGGCTGGCTGGCGGATTCTGACTCTTAGGGGAAACCAAATGAAAGACACTTGCCCTGATGTCCCCTCACTGAAGTCCGGGACATATCACCTACACTCAGACGCAGCATCTTCCCTGTGCACAGTGGGGCAGCTGATCCCTCAAGAAATACCTTATTGGGCCAAAGAACCTTTAACCGCAGAGTATCTTCCCACTTGGTGCTGTAGGAAACGTCCTTGTTTCTGCTCCCCCAACATGTCTCCATGATAGACAGGTCTCCGGCGGTTCCCACGGGTGGCTATCGAGGGCCCCTGGTCAGGTAACTGACTCGTGGTGTCTCCTAAACCAGTTCTCAGGGCACCTGAAGAGCCAGACTCTGTGTTTGGAGCCACAGCGAGTGGCCAGGCTGTGGAGCGCAGAAAGCCATGCACCCAAGCTCACCTTGGCATCTGGACAGCGCGGTCCACAGAGGACGAGAGCCAAGTCCCCTCGAAGCACCAGGACACCACTGCCCCGGGGGAGGGACAAAGGTGGGTTCCCAGAGAGCGCAGCCTGAGGTAGCAAATAGTGAACCCCGTTTTGCAACTGCAGAACGTTTAGCCTGGGATGTAACATGGTATGCTCAAGGCCGTACTGTGTGGAGTTGTCCAGATGGAGACCAGCCTGCGGGCATGTGGATTTTCAGCACCTAGCCCTCCTGGGCATGTCCCATGCCCTCTTGGTAGGCACAGGACCGTGATCACCTCGAAGGCTCTCTGAGACAATGCAGAGCCTAGGGCGTCAGCCTGATGTATCCCTGCCTCCCTGGAGGAAGAAGCCATCAGAACTGGGGCCTCCCGCTCCCCACCCTAGAGCCCGGTGACAGCTGAGCCCTCTGGATCTGTCCCCAAACTCCCTGCCTCAGCCACAGAACCCACCTCCCCTTACAAGTGTCAGCATTTTTTGAATGGTCGGATCCCTCGTAAAGAAAACAACAGGCTCCCTTTTGGCCTCCTATCTCTACCTGCAGAGCCTCAGAACACACCTACGCGAAAGCCCTCCCACTAGTCTGGTGTCCTGGATGACACAGGGAAGCGTGGTGTCTCTAAAATGGGCAGCCAAGAGTAGAAGGACAATGAGGAACCTCAGGACTCCCCCTATGCACCCAGCTCTCCTCCAAGAGAGGCCCAGGCCGCAGGCACAGCTCTCCCCTCGGTTCCTGCTCGCCCCCCGCCCATTTTTACTGTTCAGTCCGTGTCACTCAGAAAAGGAAAGTGGGCTAAAAGCACCTGTTCAGAGATGGCTCAGAGCCCCTGGGGCCACCTGAGGGTGCCAAGCCGCTGGTATGGCTCTTCCAGCAGCCTGTGGCCTCCCTTACGGGGGCCAAGGTCCCTGAAGTTCTGCCTGGGAATGCCCGTCCTCCAGGTCTCTTGGAAACTGGACCCCAGCACCTTCTTGTCCAGCACGCGCACATCTCAGCCTCTCCCCGAGACCGGGCCCGGAGGAGCCGGGTGTGAGGTAGACTGTGCGTTAGTGACTTAGCTCCCCGCCCAGGCCCCGGGGGGCAGGAGGGAGCCGCTCCCTCCCACCCTTGATCCTTGTCCCTGGATGTGGTGACATCGTGGCATGGGCCCTTGGCCACCGCCCTGTGCCCACAGCTCCAGCTGGCCAGAAGACTGGCAGCACCCACGGGGTGGACCGTGAGGAGGGGAAAGGGATGGCCCAGTTCAGCACGGCCTCAAGATGCAGAAGTCCAGTTCTTGGGGCTTCTGACGCAGGTTGCACTGGTCCCGGGCCAGCAGCCGCCCGCTGTGGCCCAAACACTTGAGCGGACGCCTCTTAAATCCCCTGCCACAGCTCTTAGAGCAGGGCGACCAGGCACCAAGCTCCCAGGTGGGGCAGGGGTCCCCACAGGAGCGCGTCTCCACCGGCCGGTGGGTGGCGCCGCAGGCAGATGCTGTGCGCTGCCCCGAGGGGCCGCGGCAGACCACGGCCCGCCTCTGCAGGCCGCTGCCACAGCTGGCGGAGCACGGCCCCCAGCTGCCCGCCACCCAGCGCGCCGCGGGCCTGTCGTCCGGCTGCTCCACTTGATTGGAAAGGCTGAGGACGCTGTTGTGGAGCACAGAGGGGCCCCGGGGGTCCTTGGGGTGGGAGGACTTGTCCTCCCGAGGTTCTTTGGGCAGGTAGAAGGAATAGCGGACCCGCGGGGGCGTCATCTTCCCCACGGAGAGGACCTCCACGGTCAGGGGCTCCAGGATGGGCCGCGACGCCTGCAGGCTCTCCACCGCCATGCCCGTGCCGCTGTAGCGCAGCACGCTGCCCTTCACCACCAGGTCCCGCTCCATGGGCGACACCACGAAGTGCCCGTTGAGCAGGTACTTGCCCTGGCTGTTCTTCAGGGCCAGGTAGTTGTCATCTCCAATGAGCCCCTTGTAGCCACGCTGGCGGATATCGATGCTCGAGGCGCCTGCGGGGATGGCCACCACAAAGTTGTAGCCGTGCCTGTGGCGGGAAGGGGAGTGTGCGTCAGACAGGTACCTGTATGGCAAGACCTCGATCCCACCCAAGTCATAACAGATTCCCCTGTCGCAGAGCCTGGCGTGGGCGGGAAGGTGGCAGGGCTGCCTCCACCTCAGCCCAGGGGCATGGAGGCTCACATGCCCAGGTGAGGGCGGCTGTCTTCAGGTCATCTTGAACCACCTGTGCCGGCTATATTGCCTCCTGATCTTTTTCTCTTCAACACAATTGCGCTTTGCTGAATTCTAGCCTGCGAGTGAACGCAGAACGTTGGAGTCCGAGAGCTGCTGACCACGCCCTCAGCTGTCGGCCTTAGATAACTTACTTGGAGGTCACAGGCACACGTACCTCATTGCAATGTGATTGGGATTCAATAAGCTTCAGCACATAAAGCATGAAGCTTAGCACCTGGCCCACAGTAAGCAGGTTGTAGAGAGCTACGGGAAGGCAGGGGGCGGGGGGCGGGGAGGGAGTCAGGCTGCGGTCCCTGAGTCCTGGGCTGGGGCCTTGGTGCACAGGTGCATGCCAGCCCTGGAGCCGGGGACCCAGATCAAGCCTTGGCTGGGACCCCAACTCTCTGGTGGCTTAAGAAAGCCAGCCTCTCTGGGTCCAGTGTCCTCATCTATACGATGAATAAATTAAACTAGATGACTTCAGAGGTTCCTTCCAGTTCCAATAGTCTGAAAAGAGCACCTGTCAATTGAAACAAGTCTGGAGGTATTAACCTTTCATTCCTCACTTGCTCCCCCTCCCCCGCCCCGCAGTTCCCTGTGAAGGACAACCTAGGACACCAGCTGCCTGCTGTGTCCAAGCGACCAGAGACGGCGCCCACCTAAGGGCTCAGCAGAGGGCCCTGGGTTCGGGGAGTGCCGCGGAGGCTCCTGGCCAGCCGTCAGCAGCACCTGGGCTCCCAGATTTTCAGAGCCAACCGTACGTGTCCCTCCAGTGAGAGCCCAGGGGCTCTGCCTGGCCCAGCTGCTCCCAGACATGGGCCAGGGCTTTCAAAGGAGCACATTGCTCTAGAAAATAGGAGAGAATGTGCTGGACCTCGGAGAGCGCAAGCCAGGGAGCCGTGGGCTCTGGGGCTGGGAGGAGAGGCCAGAGACACTTCTTCAGCTGGTCCTGGCACAGGTCTCCCAGGAGGGACCCCTTCAGCCCCAGCCCCCACAGGGCCCCTCTCTACAGCCAGTGCCATTCTCACTTAACCTGGTCTCCAAGGCCAGGGCCTCAGGTTCAGGGAGAGGGTGGCTGTCACATTTTGCCTCCAGGAGGCGTATCATAATCATGAATATTCAGTGAGCATTTATTATGTACCGGGTAGTATGCTAATAAGCACCTTACTTGGATGAACTCCCTTAATTCTCACAATAGCACTACATGAAACGTATTAGTGACATGCCCACTCTGTAAGTGAAGAAATCTATTGTTCTAGAGACTGCCCAGGCCGGTGTGGCTCAGTTGGTTGGAGTGTCGTCCTGTAAACCCATTTCCCGGTCAGGGCACATGCCTGGGTTGCAGGTTTTGTCCCCAGTCAGGGCATGGGTAGAAGGCAACTGAGAATGTTTCTCAAATCAATGTTCCTCTCCCTCTCTCCCTCTCTCTCCTTTCCTCTCTCTCTCTAAAATCAATAAGCGTGTCCTTGGATGAGGATTTTTAAAAAAAGAGACTGTGTCACTTGCCCAAAGTCATCTAGAATATTGGGAACTGAAGCTTGAACCCAGGTCAGCCTTACCCTAGGACTCTAGACAGACCCTAACAGCTCCCTGCCATCTCCCGGAATAGCATCTCCCGCTAAGTGCTGTCCTCCTTGAGCTTTCGTCTTTGCAGTCATCTTTGTTTGCTGAATGAATGAATGAATGAATGAAGTCATGTTCTCAGAAGAGTGTGTGTGGTCTCCACAGCAAGGGTACTGGCCAGGATCTGACACTCACCCCAATGGAACTCAAGCTTCCAATGCCTGGGCACAATGCTACTCACGCCCCCTCTCCCCTGCACCCTGGCCACGCCCTCCAGGGCCCAGAACTCACATGGGCTTGGTGAAGAGTCCTGTCACCTTCTTACAGCTCTTATTGTCTCCCCCACACACCCCGCACTTGTCGAACTTCTTCTTGGAGCCCAGTTTCCCGTCGCAGCCAGCTTTGATGCACTTGCCCTGGACGCAGACTGAGGTTGAGTCAGGAGTACACAGCGTACCGTCCACCACCTGCAGCGCCCCCCGGAGGGGGAGAAAAGGAGAGAGGGGCAGCTCAACGGGATGCTCTCCTAAAGACCTTGAACCTCCTCTGACCTCCTGACCCAGGCTCGCTCACCTTGGGTGCCAGCACGTAGAAGTAGCCGGTGCCATTGGCACGGCAGATGAGCTTGCACTTGTCCTGGGGGGACACACCTGAGTACTTGGGCACCCACGCCACAGTGAGGGTGAGCCGGTTGGTGCTGTGGTTGTAGCCATTGAAGGCCTCGCATTGTTCTTCCCGGAAGCTCTTGCCAGAGGCTGCGGAGGGAGAAAGCATGTGCAGAAAGCTGAGGGGAGGGGCAGAGGGGAGGGCAAAGTAGAGCACCCTCTCCAATGAACCTTCAGCAGTCTACTGAGATGATTTTCAGACTGCTATTAAATGTATAAAATAAATTACATAGATTACAAAGAATACCAATTATATACATATACAATTACCAATATATTTTGAAACGTTTGCAATATATGTGCTTCCTTGTTAACACAAATAACAAGACTCAATAATGAGTCTATAACCACTGTAATTTTGAAGTAGTGACAAGCACAAATGACCTTTTGAGAAATCTGTGACAACTAAAATATAATGTGAAATATCCATGATTTCTGCTGGTTACAAAGCCACAGGTATCGTTACTACGAAATTTTGGTTAGTAAAAAAATACTAAATTTCTAATTGAAGGAAATTCTAAATTTTACATTCAGAAAAGCTTAGTAAAAATAGAGATGTTATTTTCTTCCCACCCAAGGTCATGGGCCCTGGACAATGAATCCCTGCTTATAAAGAAGGGCTTGGGAGTACTTAAGAAGAGGACTTCATGCCTTTGGGGCATTGAGCCTCCCAGCCTAAGTATCTGGAAGAAAGCATCCTTGCCAAGGAAGGAGACAGAGAAGCTATCCCAAAAGGAATGCACACCCATGCATTCCCAGGCTCTGTCCTAAGGCACAGAATCTTGATTCGCTAAGTTTGTGACCATGAATTGCCCAGAGCGGGGGCTGCAAGCGCCAGCCTGGCCTTCCCCAGGCCCAGGCCACCGCTGCCCTCCCTCCTCACCTGAGCTGGGGCAGGGCTCCAGGCTGCAAGATCGGTATTTCACCCTTACTCCTTCGCAGTACTTGCCGCCGTTGGCCGGGGTGGGGTTGCTGCATTGCCGCCGGGCCAGCTGCACTCCCCCGCCACAGGTGCGAGAGCATGGGCCGTAGGGCTCCCATTTGGCCCACGAGCCATCCACCTGTGAGGAAGAGCCTGTTACCCTCCTGCATGGGTCGGGTGCCACACCCACACCCTGAGCCCGCCAAGAGTGGCACTGGTCCAGCCTCCGCGGCCCGTCCCGCCAGAAAGAAGGCCACTTTGTATCACCAGGGAAAAAACAACAAGCAAATGATCAGCGTGCGCAGGGCCCACACAACACTTCAACCTAGTAACCCGCAGATGCCAACTGCTCCCGGGAACAAATGCGGCCGCTCAGAAGAGAGGCATTTTGGGCTGTGTGGTCAGGCAAGCCAAATTCTACAGTCTCCCACGTTTCAGGTCCTTCATCTGCAAAAGCAGGACCCATAATGCTCACGCATGTGGTCAGATCGAAGATTTAAATGATGCAACGTGTATGAAAATCCCTAGCAGGGTGATTGCCACGTAGGAGTCCAAAGCTTCTCCTTTTGAAGTGTTGGCATATTTACAAGTCTCCACATCTAAGGCATGGCCAGCCCCCAGCCTTGCAGGAAGCCATAGAGATCTGAATATTTGTATCTATAAATGTTTAATAATTCAGACTTTGCACAACACCAAACTGATCTTAACCTCAACTGGGGGCTGAATTTGAAAAAATTTCACTATAAGCAATTCTAATGCTTGTGCTAAGAGGAGATAGACATGAAACTATTAAGCAATCTTAAAACTCCATTTGGCTTCGGGGCGAGTGATGCAGTGTTGTCTTATTTTTTAAGAGGGTGGAGAGGGGATAGAAAATTTATAGTCTTCATTATGTTTTTCTTACGATGACAGTAAAGTGAGTTTCTATCCCCTGAGCACGCATCAGTTGGGCAATAAAGGATCAGCCTCATTATACAAGCCTGGGATTGAAACGTTGTCACAGATCATCCGAAACCACTAATCCACATGGAGCTAATCAGGAACTGGCTGCGTGCAATGCAAACACTGTAATTTATGACTATATTCAGCCTATTTATTCTATCTGTCCTTCTGTCAGGTAGTTGCTTCGTTGTGTCAACATGTCTGTCTCACCTTGTAAAAAATCACTTTCCCTTTGCCCTACCTTCCCCTCAAACTGGTGCCCCACCACAATCCACCCTTTTGCTTCTGGGAGAGTCCTCCACGTTTGCTCTTTCCACCTCCTCCCCACTCGGCGCCTGGCACGTGGGTTTCGTCCCCATTGCACCACGGAAGCTGCCCTCAGTCAGCGAGGACCTTGTAAAGACCAAGCCTGTGCCTAGGCCTCCTCGTCTCGTTTCTCTGCAGTTCTTTTCCTTGCTCCTGTGACTTCTGAGACGATGCTGTAGGTGTTATTCTGGCCTGGCCTCGCTCCCTCCTACCCATTCCCACAGGAAACATGCATTGTGCTCCTCCCACACACCACTCATTCGTTCATCCACCAAATATTTATTGAGTTCCTACTACATGCCTGGCCCCATGCGCAGCAAATCTGTGTCGTTGAAGCAATCGCCTCCTAGCAGGGCAGGAAGACAGCCCAAAGAAGCCTGTGCACATAGTGTCAGATGGGGTTAAATGCAGGTGGGGGAAAGGGAGATGGGAAGGGCCCCAGTGAGCTGGGGTGCTCTGCATTGCAAGGGGTTACAGAGGCCTCACTACAGAGGTGACATTTCTGCAGAAGCCTAAAGGAAGAAGGGGAGTGGGCTGTGCAGATATTAGGGAAAGAACATTCCACGCAGAGGGAGCAAATGCAAAGACCTGGAGGAGGGAGGTTCCTGGAGTTCTCCAGGGTCACGAGAGCAAGTAACCCTGGTCACAGGAGATGAAGGGAGAGTCAGGGCTTGCTCATTCTTATTTTTTTACAGTGATTTGTAAGGGATGGGAGGAGATTTTCTGTTCTACTTGTTTATGCATTTATTGATGGATTCTTGTATCAACCCTGAGTGGGGATCAAACCCACAACCTTGGTGTATTGGGACGATGCCCTGACCACCTGAGCTACCCAGCCAGGGCAGGGCTCCCTCCTTCTAAGACATGAGTGATGTCCCAGAGATAGCATGGCCCAATTTACATTTTAATGGACCCCTTTGGCTGCTGTGGTGGAAATAGCATGTCAGGAGTAAGATCGGAAGCAAGCAGCTCAGTCAAGGAACAAGCACAACCACCCAAGGAAGACGTGGTAGAGGCTTGCACCAGGGTTACAGCAAACGAGGTGGTGAGAAATGGTTCAATCCTGCATCTATTTTGAAAATAGAGTCAATGGGAATTGCTGAAGTATTGGATGTGAAGTGAGAGAAAACGGTGTTGGCACGAGCAACTGCAAGATGGAGTCACCAAAGCAGGTTTAGGGGAAATAATCAGGAGCTCGGTTTCCCAGATGCTGTGTTTATGGTGTTTAACTGTTATCCACATGGAGACATCAAGATTCACTGGGGCACTTCAGTCTGTAGGTCAGGAGACAGGTCTGTGCTTGATGTCCAAATTTGGGAGTCCTCAACATGGAAATATAGATAGCATTTAAAGCCAGTAGTCTACAGAGATTGCCCAAGAAGTTAGTGTGAACAGCGAGGAGGGCTAGGGACAGAGCCCTGGAGCTCTGCAAAGCTGGGAAAATGAGACTGTGAGGGAGAGTCAGCGATGGAGACTGAGAAGGGGCGGCCTGTGAGGGAGGAGGGAACCAAGAGACACCAAAGACTTCTTCCCTGTGGAGAGAGTGATTCACGCACAAATGCTGCCAAACAGGTCAGGCAGTGTGAGGAATAACTGGTCGTTGACTTCAGCAACGTGGAGGCCGTTTCATGGCCTTACCAAGTCATCCTGGAGGGAAGGTGGGAAGGAGACCCTGATTGGAACGGACTCCAAAGAAAAGTGGCAAGACAGGAACTGGACAGAGCAAGTTCATACAACTCTTCCAAGGGACTTTCTATAAAGGGAGTCAGAGCGATCAATTGCAATACATGGAGAGGACATAGGATCATGAGAAGTTCGGTGTAAGACAGGAAAATTTAGAGGTAGTGTGTACCCTGACAGGAATGACTCCACTCAAGAGGGGGACATCTGATACTGCAGGAGAGAGGAGCACTGATAGAGCACTTCCCTGGAATGGATGAGAGGGGCCCGTATTCCAGTGCAAAGCGTGCAGGCTGGCCTCAGATAAGAGTGTGGACAGGTCATCCATTGTCAGGGAGAAAAAGGGGAGGATATGGGCTCAGAAGCAGGGCAGATGGTGGGTGGAGTGGTGAGAGTTGGTTGGAGTTCTCTTCTGATTATTTTATAGCTTCTTTTTTCTTAGTGAAATAGGGAGAAAGGTCCCTGGCAAAAGTAAAAATGAGGAAGGAACATTTGGTAATAGGAAGACAGAGACGATGATGTGAAATAATAGTTTAGGAGGTCGGGAGAGTGAACTAGAGAATTCACATATGATATGACCCATGGGCAACATTCCGGGCCCACTCAAGTGCCCAGGTCATGAATTTAAACTGAGACCAGTGAGCACACGTGCATGTCCTTCTCCAGCCACAGTCATCTATTCTGGCACAACGGAGGAGGTGAGAGAGCTGGATTCCCCCAAGGTGGCGTCTTATCTAAGTGAATGGGGGCATGGGAGTCGACCGTATAGGTGAAGGAGCAACTTTAACAATGAGCGTGGAATCTCAGCTCAGTAAAGAAGTTGGTGAGGACATGAGAAGAGTGAGAAACAAAGACAAAATGGTCTGATCGATAGATTGTCGGTCCAGATGGGATGGAAGGATTGTTGGAGTCCAAGCACTGGAGTGAGTGAGTTGGGGATATAGGGCCTTGGCAGTCAGGGTGGTACGCTTGCAACTGAGGTCCCTGGGGGACTGCAGTGATTACCAAGAGAAGCTTTGTGTTTGACCTTGGCTGACTAGGACCGTGTCCAATGTGGAGGGCTAGGTTTCAGTGGAAAGAGGTTTGGTGGAGAGACTGTTCATAAAAGAGGTTGAGGATATGGTGGGTTTTGCTGCTGATGGACTGAGAATTCTCAAACGCATGTGAGAAGATTGTGCTTCTCAGGTTGTGTTTCTTGTATACAATATCCTCTTGACCAATCCATCTCTTCACCCTCCTGATTCAGCTTCTCTAGAGCAGGAGCCAGCCACGACCGGCCTGCGCTCGGGACCTTCTAGTCTAAATGCAGCGGCCAGGTGGTCAAGGCAAGTGCCATCCAGCCCCGAACCACCTCCCCAAAGGGGATTCTGATAGAGCCCCAATCTGCCCGCCCCTCCAGCTCGCCCACTTCCCTGACTTCACTCCGCTTCCGCTCCATCTCTCCCCACTCATCCCTTGAGGTTCCTTCAAATCCAACCCCCTCATCAAAGTTTTTTCAGACCCCTCTAATGATCATTAATCTCTCACCCCTGCTCTCCCATGATACGTTCCCATACTTCTGCCTTAACACGTAACTCACACCTCTCCAGAGTTCCATCCCTAGCATCCCCACTAGCCTGAGAGCCCTCCGAGACATGGCCCATTTATATTTATTTTCCCAGCCACCACTGGGCCCTACACAGCTCCCTGCACACAATGGGTTGTTGCCTAAGAAATGGCTAAGGTTTAGTTAAATATGTATTCTTATAACACAGAAAAAGATTTTACATAATTCTGTACCACACCCATCTCAGGGTAGTTGCTAAAATGCCGGGAGAAAGCTTTTTTATTATATTGCTTCTGTGTACACAAAAGCCCACACCTGGCCCTCCTGCAGCCGGGCCGGGCCGGGCCGGGCTGGGCCGGGCCAGCGTGCAGAAGGAGCCGTCCCCACCGGGGCAAGGGAGACTCGGAGGGACTGCTAATTCCCGCCTTGGAAAGTGCAAACCCCTTTACTGCCCCAGCCCGGGGCCTGAAGTTTTTATTATATTCAGAGAATATTTTAGGTTTGGGATTTGTTCTGTTTTGATTATTATTCCTACTTATCAGGAAAAATCAAGTTTGTTCCATTATGATACGGCTTCAAAAAACAACCATCACAACAGAAACTGACACTTGGCCCAGGATGTAGCAAAGCACTGAGGCTGGCACACGGGTCCCCTTCCTTTCAGTTCTGAGCCTTGTTCATCTCAGGCCCACAGCTCCCTGGAAATGGAACACTCTCAGATAGAGGGAAGCAAGGAAGGAACCAGTGAGAGAGCAACTCCAACTAGCGAGTGTTCAGCTTTGAGCCCAGAGCTCCCTCCCAGGTAGACAAGGCAGAATTCAGCTCTGGGACCCCTCGCTCTACTTGAAGGACTTTCCTACCTGCTTAAGGCCTCTCCAAGTTTTCTCACCTACCCTATCTTTTCTCTCCTGTCTTTGAATCAAGAAGGCAACAGAACCACAGAGAGGGAAGTCGAGGCACAGCACGGCAATGCGATACAGTTACAGTCACATAGCAAATTTAAGATGAATTCAGTCCCCAGTGGAGGGCCCAGAGCTTGCGCCCTTCCAGCCCACTCACCCTGTACTTATTGAGGTTGTGTCTCTCCACGCAGGTCCCCTTGAGGCAGAACTTGCCCTCGCCGCAGCTGGTGCCATCTGCCCAGGGGAAGTGGCGGGTCTGGCACACCATCTGCCCCTTGGCCTTGCCCGTGCACCACAGTTTGGTGCAGTACTGCATGTAGGGGCAGGGCTTAGAGCCCACGCCAAAGGCCAGCTCACACTGCTGGCTCAGGGTGTAGCTGGTGCCCGGCAGGTCCTCGGGCAGGGCGACGGGCTTGCTGGGTTGGTCCAGGAGGCAGTCTCCTGCAGAGACCCAAGGGCATTCGTTAGGGATGAGCTGGGGAAGGCGAGGCCCGGCCAGCCCAGTAGCTGACGGGTAGGGAGAGAAGGAAGCGAGGGGCAGTGGAAGGGACCACTTCAGGGCCCAGTTCTTTGGGGTCAGGGACACCTTGGGTAACAGAGCGAAGGTCCAGAGAAGTGGCGAGCGCTGCCAACAGCGACAGCGCGGATGCTCCCGCTCTGTCACCCCGGCTTACCGTGCCCACTGTCCAGGAAGTCGGTGATGATGGCCGCACTGCAGGCTGACCAGGGGTTGGCACGGTCGATCTGGATGAGCGTCGGGGACATCATGTGGTTGGCTTGGAGCTTCCCGAACACCTCCTCACACACTTTCACGTTGTCGTGGGGCATGTTGAACACATGGCCTGGGGGCGGGGAGGCAAGAAGATGCAGAGGGCCGTGCAGTTTAGAGGGCATGGGCGCGGCTGTGAGGGGGATCAGTCGGGGAAGCCAGAGGCCCCTGTCAGTGGCTTTCAGGCAGGTCATTTCTACATATGGATATTTTCCTTTGCAAATGTCCCCAAGATCATGTTCTTGTGTTCTCTGACCCATCCGTCAGACTGCAGGCTCACTGAGGACAGCAGGGTATTTAACTTATTTTCCTCTTGCCGCCTAACTGATGAGGCCTCTGACTGTTTAGGTCCTCAGGCAATGTCACTGGCCAACTGAGCTGCGGTCCTCAGAGAAATTCAAACAAAGCCATTGCTACGGAAGACTCTAACCCTGAAAAAGGACCCCTAAGGTTTCGGGACTCGAGAAAGCAAAGACAAGCCTACGTGCCTACCCCCTGCCCGAGCACCAGGGAACCGCAGGAAGGCCCCAGAGGGGAGATCTCCTGCCCCCTCCAAAGGCCCCCTCCAGCCTTACCCAACTCATGGGCCGTGGTGAAGGCTGACGGGAGCCCATCGTCCTCGATCACAGAGCAACTTCTCTTGGGGTCGCACATGGTGCCCACGTCAGCCATGCCTAGCGTGTCACAGGTGGTGGCTCCACACAGGTCCTGCCAGGGTGAGGAAAAACAGAAGCCAGCCAGAAGTTAGAGACAGTAACAGAAAGGACCTAAAGGGAAGAAAGCATTCCAGCTCGTTCGCATTCCAAGCCTGACCAGATGCAGCACCTTTGCAGCCAGCCCTTTTCCCCGGGAGGCTGTGGGGCTATTCATGGAATTGAGCGGGCTGAGGGAGGAGGCCTCAGGAAGAAAGCTCTGTGGCTCACAATCCTATCCAGGGCGGTCCTGTGGGAGAAAATGAGGAGGTACAGATTAAACTACAAGGGCCATTGCTTTATATAGCACTGGCCTTCCAGGCCAGAGAGTGGCGGCTCCCTCGGCGGGTGAGTCTCGGCCATGCCTAACTGAGGCTGGGGGGGTGGAAGGCCAACATGCTTTGCATTTGGTCAGCTCTGTGCGGCCTCGGTCACGGCTCAGTGACTGCTTTTGGACAACCATGAATTAAGCTCAGACTCTTGGCCAAAGGGTCCCTGGCCAAGGACCCACCCATGCCTGAGATCTGGCTTCCTTGGGTTGGGAGGAGGCAGAGTAGGCTGGACACAAGCCTCTACCCAAACACAGTTAAACTGCTATAGAAGCTCAAGGGGACCGTGGGCTCAATGCGTGCTAGGAAGAAGAAACAAATTAAATGGATTGCGACCCAAGCAGGAAGGGCCTTCTTTTTATACGGAAGTGTAACTTGCAATAGGAGGTAGGGCTTCTAGCAGCAAACCTGACAGGATGTGGAAGAGCGAAGAAATGGGGCTCCTGGTATATATATCTCAAAGGCCTTCCTGAGCACATGGGGCAGCAATGCATCCAGATACCTGAAAAGCCCAGGAGATGGAAAGAGAGTAAGATACTTGCTCACATTCTGCTCCACTTAAGAAAGCACTGTTGAGCCCTGGCTGGTGTGGCTCAGTGGACTGAGTGCCGGCCTGCAAACTAAAGTGTCTCTGGTTCGATTCCCAGTCAGGGCACATGCCTCAGATGCAGGCCAGATTCCCAGTAGAGGGCGCACACGAGGCAACCACACATTGATGTTTTTCTCCCTCTCCTTCTCCCTCCCTTCCCCTCTCTCTAAAAATAAACAAGTAAAATCTCTAAAAAAAAAAAGAAGAAGAAGAAGAAGACACTATCAAATCGGTGATGCTGGTATTCTGCTCTCTACATCTTTGCCTTGAATGTGTAGGGCAATTTACAGTTCACAAGAAACTATTACATGGATCACCTCATTTCATCCCCACAACAGCTTTAGAAGGCAGATATGTTATTGTACCTATTGGTCAAGGGGGGAATCTGAGACTCAAGATCCTGGGTACTCATGGTGATGATTTATTAAATGCTGGCACTGTGCGTGCACCTCGCACACATGATCCTACTGAATCGTCACAACGCCCCACTGGAATAAGAGCTGTTATTATCACCTTCTTCAGGAAAGGAAGCTGAAGCTCAGAGAGGTTCAAGCCTCCAGCAGAAATCCGCCCTCAACATCTGTATAAGTGAACAGCCAGGGCTCTTTCCAAAACATCACAGCCAATCACCCAGCAACTCCTGAGCTAATACTCCAGAGAAGGCTCTGTGTGTGTGTGTGTGTGTGTGTGTGTGTGTGTGTGTGTGTGTGTGTGTTCTCCCCTGGGAACCAAGGTGTTTGCACAAACACACACACATGCAGAGCTGCTCTCAATTTCGTTCTTTTTAGAGCTGTGTGTGCGCGCATGCGTGTGTGCACAGGTGCGTGCTGACATGGGGAAAACGTGGGTAACACGGTTAGCGGGGTCAGGGGGCATGGGAGGAAAAGTGGTCATAGTACAGAAAATCAGCAAAATTTAATACAAAGCACTCCGAAGTGTACACCTGAGCCATCAAACTGCGTCCTACGATCAGGTGATAGTCACACCTCCTCATGAGTGAGGCTATCGTGGCCAGAGAACCTCCAAGGTGGTCAGGCTGAAGTCCTAGTTACCGACGGGCAATAGGCGTGCGCAGCCCTGATCCGCTGTCCTGCGCTGGCGTGTGGCCTTTCTTCCACTTCTGGGAGCTCCACATGGTGAACCTTGAATTCCCTTCTCTCTCCAAAAGCCCCATGTCCCAGGAAGATCTCCTTCCCCAGGATTCTGAAACCTAGAAGGCAACTGCTGCCAACATTTGCCCGGGGAAGTTCCCCCGACAAGGACTATAGGGAATCTGATTACTGAGGGACTGGACTGAGTCACAGGGACCAGCTTGGGGATGCGGCTAAGGGGCGCAAGATGGGGAAGGAGGGAACAAAGGTTCAAGCAGGGGCAAAGCGAAGCGGGGGTTGGACAATGGGGCCCCTATGCCCCTGGACACTAGAGTGCAGGGTCCCCAGTAAGGCGGTAGCCTCTGAAAATTCCTGCCTGATGGTCAGAGCCTGTAGGACAAGCATGTGATACTGCCCTGAGCCACCACGTGCACTCACTGTTGGCCTTACGTGAGGGATAGGGTACAGGAGTGGGAAGCCTAGATTCTGGTCCTGGTCCCATCACTAAGTAGCTGTGGGACTTTGGGCAAGTCACTTCTCTCCTCAGGGCCTCAGCTTCCTACTCTGTGGAAGGGCCCATTCTCACCTAGAACCAAGACTATACCAGGGCCTTAAGCCTCTGCTCCCCCTCCCCTCCCATCCCAGGGTGCTCAGTGCCTTCTGGCCTCCTGGGTTCTAAAAGGAACACAGAGAATGATGTGCTTTCCAAGTGGAAAAACCCTGAGGATGATCTTGTCCACAGACCTACGCGGTGTAGAATGAAACAAACTCACAGAAAGTAAAGATCTCCCAGGTGGTAGTTCGAGCCCCACCCTCCGCCGCCCATCAGAAATGGCTAGAGCAGATGCGGAGCTCCAACCGGGGTCTCTGACGCCTGGGGACCTCTGCGTCTGGGAGGTCCTTAGAGCCAAAGCCTCCTTCCTCTCAAGGAGGTGGACTCTGTGGAGCAAAGACTTGCAGCTGCAGGCCGTTCCTGGCCAGGAGCAACCTGTTCTTTCCATTAAGAAATCCCAGTTTCTCTGGATCAAACGAGAGGAACAAGGAAAGAGCCGGCAAATTTCTTGAGGGTCCGGTATAGCTGAGAGCAACTGTCCTGCAGTAACCAGTTTCTTCATTGCAGAAAAATGCAGCTGTTTGGGGTCAGAGACTCTGCCTGCCCCTCCTCCCCTCCCTGCCGCCGCCCTGGGACTCGCTGGGCCGCAGTGTGGGGGGTGCCTGCAGGCCCAGCGGGGGCTCCTTCGTGGCACTGAGTGCCTCCACCCTCCTGGCAGGGACTCACACGCACTCACACCGCGTTAACCTCTTCAACTCAGGCTTCTGTGTCCGTAAGTGGAAGATGCTCTGGCTCTTCCCACCTGGAGCAGGTACGTACTTCCCAGCCCAGACCCCACCTGCCTCGCTATTTCTGATCATTTGTCATGTCTCCTTGTGACTGCAGTTGCTGTTCCAGATCATCCAAGACTCATCCTGGCCAAGTACTAATCTGCCTGGATTATTCTATTCTAACTGTCCCTTTTTATAAAATATTTTAAGGCTGGAGTGCCCTGGCCCAGCAGCTCAGTTGGTTGGAGCATCATTCCATACACCAAAAGGTTGAGGGTTCTATTTTCTCGGTCAGGACCCATATCTAAGTCACAGGTTCGATTCCCAGTGGGACACATACAGGAGGCAACCGATCAATGTTTCTCTCTCACATTGATGTTTCTCTCTCTTTCTCTCTCTCCCTTTCCTTCCTCTCTCTCTCTCTGAAGTCAATAAACTTATCCTCAGTGAGGATTTTAAAATAAATATATAAATAAATAAAATAAAAAACATTAAAAAAAAAAAAAAGACTGGAGCCACGATTTGAAAATAAGTAAGAATAACGCCTTGCTGGGGCCAGGCTCATCTTACCAAGGTTGCTCCCTGCACGCCCACCACTCCCACAGGCCCTCCTCTCCGCAGACCCCCTGCACAACTGCTCCCACGCCCCTGCCATGTGCGGAGAGGCTCAATATTTTCCAGCAGGAAGGAGGGGTCCACAAACATCAATCGCATTAATTTTGTTTTAATGTGGCAGAAGATACATGCGTTCTCAAGTAGCCAACTGTCTGGTGACATTGAACTCCTGGCCTGCAAGCCAGTGCGCATGTTCACGGCCACATCCCAGCAACCCATACTAACCTCACAGGACTTCGGAGCCATCCTGTCCTTCCGCAGGTGAGGAGACAAGGCTCAGTGAACTCAGATTAATCCCCCAAGGCCACAAGCTACTGAGTTGAGAATGGGGTCCTGAATCCGTGCCTTTTGACACCAAGGCCAGTAGTGGCCCTTGTCTGAATAGCTCCACACCGGGCAGGATGTCACAGTTACTGGCGAGAACTGCCTGCACTAGTATTAACACTGCCCCTTGAATTAGCTTCCCATCTGAGTCTCTGCCATGTCTCACTGTGTTTTCTCATCCAACCCCAAATCCCCTTGTTTGTAATCCCTAAGGACCTTACTTTGCTAAAAAATATATATATATATATATATATATATATATATATATATATATCTCGCAATTCAGTGCTGGGCAACACAACTAAGGATACCCTGAAATTTCTATAAGAAGATCTGGTTTCACTGGAATATAAACCCCTCAATATGTACAAATGCTATTATAGCAAGAGACTGAGGTCATCAAAACACTGAGAATTACCTCAGTGAGGAAGAAGAGGAACCCAAAGCTCACAGGAAGACCACACATTCCCTAGCAATCACCAGTTCACGAGGGGTACATACCAAACATGACGATAGTAGTTTACATCTCCTGAGTTGCTGTTACGTGCCAGACACGGTTCTAAGAGTTTTACCTGTAGTAGCTCATTGAATCCTCATAGCTGCTCTAGGAGGGAGATGCCATTAGAAGGTCCCATTTTAACCTGACTGGTGTGGCTCAGTGGGTTGGGCATTATCCCTCAAACCAAAGAGTCACTGGTTCGATTCCCAGTTGGGGCACATGCGTGGGTTGCAGGCCAGGTCCCCC